GCGCTCAGGGCAGGGGACTGACTCCTACAGTGTCCCAGGTGTGGGTGTCGATGACATAGACTGGCATGAAGGCCGCATACATGAGTTAAGAGACATTTGAAGAAAGAATTGATAAGTGAGAATGTATAAAAGAATATAGGGTGTGAATCAGATTTTACTTCCAGTTTATAACTACGATAACTCTTTCTAGAAAGAGGGCAAGTCAGGGTTATTGGATGGAGTTGAAGGAAGCAGTTGTGGCTCACTAGGAGAAGGCAGAAAGTGGTTGGAACCACACTCCCTCATCCAAGTCTAATCTATAGAGAATTAGCTTTTTTCTTTGCCCTTCTCTAGCAGTTACCTGTAGCCAGGTTCTTAGGTAGCTCTACTCCTTAAGGTATAGCTTTATAATTCTAGAAGGCAGTTGTCATGTACTATCAGATGTTATGGGTTGCTTAATGCCTCTGTGTTTTATTTTCTCTGTATCCAGAGTAAAATAAAGAAGCGATCCTGGGTTCTTCACGAGTGTTTGGAAAGAGTTCCTGAAAATGTGGATGCTGCGAAAGAACTGCTTCAGTACGGCTTAAAAGGCACAGACCTGGAGGTTCTTTTGGCACTTGGGAAAGGATCGGATGACGGCAGGTTGGTCACAGAAAGATTTGGATGCAAAAGTAAAGGTGACTTTGTGAAAACGTTTAAGCTGCGACTTTGCAAAGGGAAAACTTTTCTTTAGGTCATTCTGCAATGAGGCAGTTGCTTTTGATTGATGCTTTCTTATCTGAGGTCACAGCTTTCTAGCCTTTAAATAAGGTGTGTTTACATATAATAGCTTGACACAAAGCAAGGAGCAAATTCTGCAGACATTGAATGCTGGCCGTTTTTAAGCTGTGAGCTTAAGACACATACCCGGATGTACTTGCTAGTCAGAGAGGCCCCTCAGACGGGTCTCAGCTTCATTCACTCTCTTTATCTGTAGCATCATGCTGGCTTCGTGAGGTACCTCATGTGATCATATGTCTTGTGGAAGCACCTCACACACTGTTACGCACCGTAGAGATGCCAGTTAATGAAATAATAATAAAGTTATTTGCTACATTCGGAACTTTTCAGAGATATAAATGTAATAGTACATTTGCTAAATAAACAATGTAAATGAGACTTACATTCATTACCATTTTGAGACCTTAAAGAGAAGGGATTCAAATTATAAGCTCTGGGCAACATTTTCCTCATGTTGGATGAATATAACCTCACATGTTTTCCGAAGTAGTTTCCATTTTCTCGATTTTTAACATTTCTAAATACGATGCTTACCGATGACCTAATGGCTTTTTACCCATCCAGGAGATATAATGAGTGAATCACTTCGCTTACAATAGCAAAGCCTTTTTTCCAAATAACTCGTCATTTCTGTGGAAATCAACTAACTAACAAAATCAAAGTAAGAGATAGCAGCTTTTCACTATATGAAATGAAAACTTAACGAAGACAGACTTGGTTTTCCTTTCTCCTTATAGATTTGCATTACCTGATGAAGTAGACATTGACGGGGTCTCTTATGAGGACCTTTTACCCCCCGACGAAGAGCCTGCCGCGAAGAAAAAGAAGGCACTCAAGAAGAGACGAGAACTACTGAAATTAGTGAACTTTTCAAAGTAAATGATCCATGACTGTTTATTTGGTAATTTCTTGAAAATAGTCACCTAAGTGGGTTCTTTACTAGAGATAATTGCTGTAAATTATTTCAGGAACTTAAATTAAGTGCATTTACTGTTTTACCTTTGTGCTTTTGGGTATTGTTCCATGAATTTTGAGCTCAATGGAATAGTGATCATGTTTACTCTATTTTAACTCTTAGAGAAATGTGCTTTTATGTAAGTAAAATTCGCCTAACGTAGTCTTTCCAAACAGGTTAACACTGGAACAAAAGGAACTCTGCCGTTATCGACTGAGATTATTAACCTACTTAGATCGGCTTGCGACGTACGAGGTGAGGAGCAGTTTTAATCGAGCTGCTTCTGTTCATTCGACCTGTCATTGTAAATGCCATGGCTTCCCTAGTATCTGCTGTCCTTGGTCTTTAGAACTATTTATGTGGGAAAAATTCCTTTTGGACAGGAGCAGGTTCCTTTGTCTGTCAGTTTTGGTAAAAATTAGAGACCATGAAGAACCAGAAGTTGTTTTGTTGATCTAGGGAATAGAAATGCGCTCACCGCTTCAGTGCGTCTCTGTGTCCCACATTTCTTATCCTTTTCATTTACTTCGATTTTGCATTTTGGCGTTAAGGTTATGACATACAGCTTTCTCCAGCACCAAATTTAAGTATATACTGGGTTTTAATGACCCTAATTTGAATATTTCTGATTCACTTTGTTTTAATGATTTGTTAGTGAGTTGAACTTGGTTGAACTTTGATCTTAACCATTGCCAAAATTAGGCACTTGAACTTAAATATACTTGATATTGGTTTCTTCAGGGACACAATTGCAGATGTTCCCATGTTGGGCATTTCAGTAGCACTCTGTACTGTAAGATCAGTTTAGGTATTGTTAACGGTGTGAGAAGCATTTCGATAAATACACATAGCTAAGATTGCTTTTTCGCATGACCCTTGTACTGAAGTTACTCAGGATTTAATATAAATTTCTAGCCTTCGAAGTTTGACTTTGCCTGCAGGTTGCTTAGTCTGTGTTACGCCTCCCTTCTGTGGGCATACCTGTCTTGGCTCTTGGGACTGGCACAAAGTGGGCACTCAGTAAATGTCACACCTGATAATTTACTGCCTATCCCCAGAATAATGTAGATATTTAGTACTTCTGACGCCTGCAGGCAAATCCAAAAGCATTTGATTCCACACCCGCTAAGAGAAATGTTTTTAAACAGAATACTAGTGACAAAAGAGGGCTGTTCCTATGGTTATTAGAAACCATAGCAATGAGTTTATCATTTCACGCAAACAGGTTACAAAAACTTCCCAGTAGTTTTAATTTTGAGTACAACTAGTTTGACTGTTGGATGGTCATGTTTTTTAAAGCAAATCCTTTGATTATGTCTGAGTTCTGTGATTTTTTGAGGCGGTATATAAAAGCATGTTGTGAACTGCAGAACTTAGAACAGATGTAGTTTATCCTTTTTTATTCTTAGCCTTAGTTTTACTGAGGATGAGATCTCAAAGAAAAGTTCCATGAAATGTTCAAAGTTTGCCTATGCAGTTAATTTTCTTTCGTTATTCTTTAATTATGGAATTGGTATTGCCTGTTTGACAGTAGGAAGTACATTTATTATTACATGGTAATAGTGACAAAGTATTTGTTGAGCCCACTTTTTAAGGGAATTAAGCTAAGCTTTTGAAAAGTAAATGAAATTGATGAAGTTGGCTGTTAAAACTTAGAAATGAAGATGTATAGATATAATGGCTAACCAGTAGATGGGGTAGAGATAGGCATTGCATTTTAATCACAGAACATGACTTATTTTATTAATTCTGCGATCAATGAGATAAAAATGGAGTCATTTAAATTTTACACTGTGCCTACTACATCCCAGATATTATGCCAGTGCTGGAGGTACAGAGATGACAAAGGGACAGTCCTTGTGGAGTCCTCATTATATAGGCAATAAGTGATGATAATGAAGACATGAAGAATTGATGAGGGAGCATAATGGAGAAAAACATTAAATTTTTCCTGGGGATGTCTGAGAAGACTATACATAAGAAGAAGTAGGAGTGCTGTTTCAACTAGTCCTTGAAAAAAGGAAGGCAGCTTTAGCGGGCCGGGGAGTCCTGTGTGGGGGGCACGAGACTGGAAACTCCCTAAAGGTAGGAGTTTTGCGTTGTTTGCTGCAATCTCCCCAGCGCTCAGAATGATATCTGCCTTGTGTAGGAGCTCAGTCAATATTTGCTGAAGGAACCAATAGGTAAGAGAATATCTTAAGCAATATCAACACATTTGTTGATGGCTTACTGTTTGTCAGCCAGTGCCTTGTGTACTTAGTTCAAATTGTTTCCCATCAGTCCTCGGAGGCAGGTATTATTATCCTCTCAATTTTATGGATATGAAAGCAGGCTTACAGAAGGTAAATAATTTGTCTGGATAAATAGGAAGCAAGAATTCAGCTAGGTCTCCCTGGTTTAGTAGCCTATGCGATAATCAGGGTGCTGTCTAAAGAAAGGGTAGTGGCGGGGAAGTAGACGGTGTGCGCCTGAGGGCTAGCCAGGGCGGCCGCGCTGCAGGGGCTGGGGCGGGGCGCAGAATAAAGGTAGGAGAGACGTTAGAATGGTGTGGGCCATATTTTGAGAAGTCTTTCATGCTGTGTAAGGAGTTGAATTAAATTACATTTTTTGTCGGAGGTTGAATAAGCTTAGGGAAGAATGATAAGTGGGGGAGTGGAGACAGTGGTCGTGGGCAGTTCTTTCAAGTTTTCTTGTGAAGGGGCGCAGAGGAGAATGTGGTAGCTAGAGGGGTATAAAAGATCGGGTTGTCGTTTTAATAGAAGGAAGAAGTGTTGTTTGTATGCTCATAGATGAACCGGCAGGGCGTAAGGAGGAATTTATTGGCCAGAAGAAAGAGGAGATGGGTATGCATTAAATTCTTTTTTCTCCTTTTCTGTCTACAACTCCATCTACTTTTCAGATACAGATTCCCTTTTCCTTGCTCATCTTTTAAATGATGTTGTTTCTCAGTCTCCTTTTATTTCATTCTACTTAATTTCCCTTGGAATCACATACACTTCTGTGGCAAGAACTCTGCGTCCTGTGTCCAACTCACATTTTTCTCCAAAACTCCTGACCTGTATGTCCACCTGCCCACCGGGCAGTTCCTTTAGATGTGTGGTAGGTCCAAACTCAACATTTTCCTAAGTGAACTTCTCACTCTCCACTTTCCCTTTCTCACCTCCTCTAAACATCCTCATTCTTCCCTCTTTCCTATCTCAGTAAATTAATTCACTTAACAGTATTTACTGGATATTTGTTTATTATGCGAAAGGCAGTATGCTAGGTATCTGGAATTTATCACTAAACATGACAGACAGGAGCCCTAACTCATACATCACAGCGGCGAGACCTGCACTTGCAACTGCCCAGGCTAGCTCCTATTTGTCCTTTATGTTTCAGCTCCGGCGCTGTTTCTGGGGAGCCTTCCCTGCCCTCCCAGAACTGGGTTAATCACCCCTCCCACGTGTTTCCCTTCGCCTGGTCCTGTTTGCTTATTTGGCTTCCCCGCTAGATTTCAAGCTACTTAGAGAGCAAGATCTGTGTACTGTCCATTGTGTTACCACCACTGCCTATCACAGTGCTCCTAGCATATAGTAAACACTCAATAAGTATTTGTTGAACAAATGAATGGTTCATTCTGCGCTTTACAAAGGCCACTTCAGCAGCAGTAAGGTTATGGTGAAGTTTCATACAGATATGGCAGATGCTCAGAATGCACAGCCATGTATAACTAACTGTTGCTTCTTTGTTTTAATTAGGTAGTGGGTTTTGATTGTCCTACTGTATATAATTTAATTTGTACTGCCTATTTCATTTACTAATGGATTTGAAAAAATTAACAACATTTAAAAATATAACCACTTTCAAAATAAAGGCAAGAATGCAGATGTAGTTAAGTACATCAGTTAACAGTTGATAGTTTAATTTAGGCCTTATTTACTTAGATAGGCAGGATTATAAAGGTTTTTAATATTTTCTTGTCCTCGATATTTAAAAGCCTTTTCATTAAATCGCTGTTTCCCTTCAGGAAATCCTAGGAGTGTCTCATGCATCTGAACAGAGATATGATGCCGAATTCTTTAAGAAGTTCAGAAATCAGAATATTGTTCTCTCAGCAAGAACTTACGCTCGGGTAATTTTTTGTAAATAAAACAATTATGGTTATAACAATTTCTGAATCTTTGAACCATGCAGTTAATGTTATCACATACATATACCATCGCATTTCCTTTTTTGTTGTAATATTAAGAAATGTACAGAAAATGAAATCATATTTTTAAAAAATTTCTTCTGAGTTTTAAAAATGCTTGTAATAGCATTAGATTGAGAAACATGATACAGAGTAGGAAGAATCAGGAATATTTCAAAACACTTCACATCAGAACTGTATAAAAAAGTCAATTACGAGTTTTTGAACGTTGTCGTACAGAATTACTCCTATATCTCTAAAATTCACATTGGAAACTTACCCTTTGCCTTTATACAGGAAAGTAACGTACAAGCCCTAGAAATTCTGTTCACGTATCACGGATCAGACCTGCTTCCTCATCGCCTCGCGATTCTCTCCAACTTTCCAGAGACCACTTCTCCTCACGAATATTCCTTTTTGCTTCCCGAAGCTTGGTATGTGACTCTGTTAACTGAATTTTACCTTCTTTCTAAATTATAACAATTTTTGGTTTCATGCCAAGCACCTTAAATTGAAAAATAATTTTAAAATAATCTACCGAAACATTTCTTCTGATTATAAAATGATTTCTAACTTATTTTTAAATGATCCTGAAACCAATATGTGTCTAATGTGAATAGGATCACCTTAACTTAATGAACATGAACTTTGCCTTCTTTTGAAAGCCTCGTAATTTTACTGCCGTGTACTCAATATGTACTGTGTTCTGGTTAAGAACAGATTTTTAGGATAACAATATCCGTTTGTATTAGTCGTGTCTTTTAATCGAGGTGTAGCTCTGACAGTTTTACCCAGGAATGTCTGAATTCTGTTTCTCTCTGAAATTTCAGAGGCACAAAGACAAAATGGGAAATCAAAAAGATACAATTACAGAAATTGTTTTTCTGCAGAAATGTATTCTTTGACTCCTTGATATTCATTTTCAAATCAGATGGAACCATTAGGCCCGATGAATGCAAAGCGTCTGATTTGTTGGAGCCTGCGTGCTTTTCTCTGCTTACCCGGCACCATTTGCCGAGCACCTTCCTGCGCCTGACAGTGTGGTAGGGATTTTGAAATGAGTAAAACACTGTGCTTCTCCAGCAGGAGTAATCGGAGATGCCTTACGAGCCAACACAAATTCCTGCTTACAGCCTCATGTTTTCAAACTGAGGAAGAAATAAGAGTTGCAAAGATTCTAAATAAATCTGCAGGCTTTTCTGTGTTCTCCTCAGTTGCAGTGCTTGAAAAACGAGTAAAATGATCTTGCCACTTCCTCATTTAGTGCCTTGAACGGCTATAGAACTTTCTGTGTGTATGCCTTGTTTTTCTGAGAGAGAATATACATTACACAGCGATGAAGCCTGAGTTTCATCCTGCTTTATCTTCGCTTCAGCCCCCTGACTTTATTTTGCAAGTAATGATGGCTTTTTAATAATCCGTTGAATTGATTTGAAACTAGTCACTAAAATCTACATTTGTGGCTCCCAAATGCAGAATGGCTGTGTAACGGCACAGCCTTCAGCCTGCTGTTAGGACAGTAGCTTACAGTCCCCTGCTTTCTCCACCGCTGCCACACAGGCCTCTTGCTGTTCCTCCAAAGTGCCATGCCTGCTCTCCCGATAGGAATTTTGAGGTTAGTCTGCCCCCTGCCTGTGTGCTGTTCTCCCAGATCTTCGTGTGAGTGGGCCTCTTAATCATTCAGAGGCTCTGCTCAAAGGCTGCCTCTTCAGAAAGGCCTTTGCCAACCCCTCTTTGTCACATAGCCTTCACTTCCTCTCACTCTTTTGTCCTCAGCCAGTTTACCTTTCTTCATGGCGCTTGCACTTAACATGTGATGTACCTATTTGTCTTCTTTGCTTTCTCCGATCTTCCTCGGCCATCCTATTACAATTTTACCCTCACTTTAAATCCTCCTTTCCTGCTTCATTGTCTTTCCAGCATTTATCACTGTCTACCTTAGTTTGGGTTTTTCTTAAAATGTCAGCTGCAGTCTACGGCCATGCCACCCCGAACAAGCCCGATCCCGTCTGATCTCAGAAGCTAAGCAGGGTCAGGCCTAGTTAGTACTTGGATGGGAGATCACCTACCAAGACCAAGTGCTGTAGTTGTAAAAAATAAAAAAATAAAAAATAAGGGATTGTAAGCTGACAAGGTCCTTGCAATCTGTGAGGTCAACCAAGGGTTGCCTCGCCTAAAAAAAAAATGTCAGCTGCAATTGTACAGGGATTTTTGCATGATTTGTTCCCTCCCTTACCTGCTGTACCTAGAATAGTGCCTGGTATGCTGTCGGCACTCAGTAAGTACTTTTTGGGTAGATGGATGAATGAATGAATGAGTGAGTGAGTGAGTGAATCTAAATTCCATAAGGGTAGGACTTTGTGTCTTGTTCATTAATGTAGCCTCAGTGCCTAGAAGAGTACTTGGGCCGAAGGTGTTTTGAATGAGTGAGTGTACGTGGAAGGGTAGGGGGGGTTTTACATTTCAGAGGTTAAGCTGTGTGATAGTTTGGAAAGCAATAGTGAGTTATACTAACAAGGTGACCTTTTAACTACTCTATATTGAGATCTCATTGGCAGAACTTTTACCTCCGCATTTAATCAAAGTTTGAGTAATCAAGTTGATTCAACAACATTTTATGATTATGATTGCTGGGGAACTTCCATGGCATGTGTTATTTTGTATTTTATACCGTCACTCTTAAATCACGTGTATTTGACATTGATGAAGTGTGACGGAGTTTTACAAAACTTTGAAATTATGTTTTCTGTCATTGATGATACACCTTTTTATTAGGTACCTATCCTTAGATTGTCATTACTATAAACCATTTACACTTTACATTCTAGTTGACTGTTTTAATTTTTAAGTAGAAAGGTGACATTTTTTACCGTCATTATTAGCTTCCACAATTTGTGGTAATAGAGATTTTTCATAAAAAAAAGATATTATTTTTAACTTCTGGTATTTTGATGTTTATAGCATGTCTTATTTTTAATTAAAATTTTTCTAATTACAGTTGACACTCAATATTATATTAGTTTCAGGTGTTATAACGCTTTTTAGAAAGATTATTTAGATGTTTCATTTACACTTCTTATTGTAAACCTTTCCAGAATGGTGAAAGCAGTCATATTTAAAAGCATAGGAGTAAAAGCGCTGACCCAAGAACCCAGTTGCCTAGATTCATGATCTTGGATAAGTTTCTTAACTGCACCTCAGTCTTCTCCCCTGTAAAATGGTGATGATTTCACTTACTTCATAGTGTTGTGAAGATGATTAATGAGTTGATGTACATGACTTACTGAGAACAGTGCTTGGCACCAAGTAAGTACTACTTAAGTGTTAGCTTTTATTAATGCAGAATCCCACGTGTAGGCCTTGGCCTTATATGTTTATATATGTCATATACTTGTGTTTTAAACTTTTTATTGGAATAATTGTATAGTTACAGAAAAGTTGCAAAGATAATAGAGACTTCCTGTCTACCTTTTCATCTAGCTTACCTTTTCTTCTTACATAATAGCGTATTTGTCAAAACTAAGAAATTACTGCTGGAATCGTCAGTTCTATATATAACGTGACCTATGTGTTCCTAAAAATCACTGTACTATGTAAAACTGTGCAATGAAAACCACAGGGTTTATGGGGAAAATGGGGTTAGGGTCTAGCATTGAAAAACTCTGTGCAATGGAACAAAATTAGGAACCTAATAAAAATTGTTCCATAGTTTTACGTGTTAATTGGTTAAGAAACACATAAATATTAAAATATGGAACTTTACCTTGAATAAGACCTGAAAACGACTTTATTTGTGGAAATGAATGTTGAAAGAGTCGCAGCTTGTAGAGGAAGAGGGTGATCAGAAATCTCATGGAAAGTTGTAACACCAGATGTGGGTGGGAGTGGCTCCTAACACATCAGGATCTGAGGTTGTGGGTTGATGTTTGGGGGGCTGTGTGTCCATGCACACGTAATCTGATGTGGCGTGTTCCAACTGAGTGCACTTTTCTGTGTTTACCTAATGTTTCTTGTGGATGAAGTTGTGCATTAGCACATATGAAATTTGTGTTATGCTCAAGTTGTTCCCTAATCTATCAATTCACTGGAACAAATTCGCATCTTCAAAACGTTATAGCAGAACTGACTGTGCAATACTATTAACTAAACTACATATTTATTTGGACTTAACCAGTTTTTCTCCTGATATCCTTTTTCTGTGTCAATATCTGATCCAGAATACAGTATTGCATTTAGACTTCATTTATATTGACTATGTGGAAATAAACTCTTGTTCGATATCCGCCAGTCAAGAAATTCTTTGACATATATATTTACTAGACAATGAAAATTGATACTCGCGTTTATAGTCCTGGAATACCTCCAGAATCAACAGGAAAGATTGAGTCACATTTAGTGTATTTTGAGATATTGCAATATTTGTTTTTTATAATGTAAGTGGCAAAATTCTATTGATGGAAATAGAATATCCAGAGCACCTCGTGTTTAATTTTTTAAATCATACTAAAAAAGCTGTTACTATAGTAACTTGGCAGTTTGCTTGTGAATATCTGAGCTTAGATTATTTGATGATTGCAAGTTCGACTATGAAAAGCGTGCTGTAACATGCGGATGGCCCGTGCCTGCATGAACCGTGGAATTGTGTTTTAGATGTTTCCATCTTCTTCCGTCTGAATTTGTGACTGTATGAATTATTTGTTGACTTATAGTCATATTATACCTTTAGTTCCACAGTAATTTATGTGATGCATCATTAAGGATAAAAATAAAAAGTGGCCGAGTGAAAATTTTAAGTCACCAGTCGTTTAGATCATATAGGGCGTCACCCCGATCTTATGTCAGTATGTACCTAGTCTCACATTGAGAAGCAGCTGTCATCCTCGAGAGTAAAAGGCACTCTTACCTGCCTGCATTTAGAACAACCTTGTGAAACAGTGTGTGATAAACTGTATGACAAACCCACTGCAGAAGTATTCCTCCTGTGAGCTGCAGACCCAGGGCCTCTGTGCTGTGCATACTTTGATTCATGTGTCTTTGGCATTTTATTCTCTCACTAACCCGAAATCACCACTGCTCTCTCTCTCTGCCCCATTTGATAATGCAACAGAAAACCCAGGGTCCCCAGGAATTTCTTCATTATCATTTTTCATTGAGAAGTACCGTCAAGTAAATAAGCTTTTCATCCTTTTCTTCTTACTGATAAGTCTTTGTCATTCACCCAACACTAGGAGGCCTTTGGGTGATTAATTTGGAAGATGGTTTTCTGTTTTCAGAGGCTGCTAATATTCTGTGACAGGATTTTTTTTAACGACCAGGCTTACACTTTCTCATAATAAAGTGCAATGAATATAGAGACACGTGCACTGATGGTTCATAACCATTCAATGAATAAACAATTGTCATGTGAAGAGATTTGGAATTTATAAGGGATTGC